CTAGATCTCGTCTTCACCTTTGATATTCTCGGCCTCGATCTTACTGATTTTCTTTCAAACGTCTCTAACTGAAGAACAACATAAACAATTACCATTTAATAGAAGAAAAGATACTTATCAATGATTGATATATTTTAGGGATTTTTTCCTGTAATTTTCCTTAACAAATTATTATTATTTTATTTTTTTTTGTTCTCATTCCTTAACAAATTAAATAAGAGCAATTTTGTCCAAATATTTTACTTTTCTGTTATTCACTTAATTTTTATTATACCTATGTTAATTTTCTAATTGTGTACCCTCAATGTAATATTAAGTTAATTCACTCTAAAAAATTATAATTTTTTTATTTTTTAATATTTTAATCTAAAAATCTAGTACTACTGTAAAACCCCATAGAGAAAAAGAGAGCAAAGACCCAACTACTCTCTTTGGCAGAAAAATCTAACTTTTACAAGAAAAAAGTGAGAATCTTTTCAACACTGATCTTCTTCTCTCAACCATGGCGATACAGCTATGGCAGACTCTGAAAGAAGCAATACATGCTTACACCGGTCTCTCTCCGGTGGTCTTCTTCACCGCCCTCGCTCTCGCCTTCGCCGTTTACCAGGTCGTCTCTGGCTGGTTTGCCTCGCCGTTCGATGATGTTCGCCGACATCAGAGGGCTAGATCGGCGGTCGAAGAGGAGGAGCTACCTATTCCTCCGCCTGTTCAGGTCGGTGAGATCACGAAGGAGGAGCTTAAGCAGTACGATGGCTCCGATCCCAGTAAACCCCTTCTCATGTCCATCAAACACCAGATCTATGATGTTACGCAAAGCAGGTGAACATTTCATTACATTCTTTAAATCTGACCAAACAAGTTAAATTAGGTTATGGATTCGATTCTTTCTAGGCTAAACTTTTCTGGGTAATTGAGCTTTTCCCTGGTAGATTGTCAAAATGTATCCTTTTTTTACTTCACACTAGACAAGGATTCAAAGGAAGCTTGCAATATGTTCTTGTTTGATGTTTGCTGGTGATTGGGATAGTTTATCAAGAGTCTTAAGTTCTTAGCTATATTTGAGCTTTTGGTTGGTGATTTTAGATATTGGGATCGGAGCCTAACCAATTGATCATCTTCTTATGATTTCTCAGACTGGTCTATTCGTGTATTAAGTGTTGTATTTGTACTAATGAAAGGTATCCATTTTCTTGGTTTGTAGGATGTTCTATGGACCAGGAGGACCATATGCTTTGTTTGCAGGGAAAGACGCAAGCCGAGCTCTTGCAAAGATGTCATTTGAGGATAAAGACTTGACTTCGGATATCTCTGGTCTGGGTCCTTTTGAGCTAGAAGCTCTTCAAGACTGGGAGTACAAGTTCATGAGCAAGTACGCCAAGGTTGGTACTGTCAAAGTGACCGATTCTTCACAATCTGAACCCGCATCTGTGTCTGAACCCGCAGAGACTAGTGACCGAGATGCTCATGTAACCACGCCTGAGGAGACCGTTGTCGATAAGAATGCTCATGTAGCCACGCCTGAGACAGCAGTTGTCGATAAGAATGAAGAGGCTTCTGCTGAGAGTGATGTGAAGAAGGAATAAAGTCCATTTCCGGGATTTACTCTGATTTGTCATAGATACCAGTTTTATCAAAGGATTGTAGAGTCTCTTATGTTGAAGTAGTGTCGATGATAATCTGTGTTTCATTTTCCCAAAAACCAAGTTTGCTGATTAATAAAGCATTATAACATTGCCTAATCTTATGATCTAGACAAAAAAAAAAAATGCTCAATCAGAAGGGCGTTGCATTGCAAAGATTACAAGGTGATTGAGCTAATGCTTTTGGTTTGTTAAAGGCATGAAAGCAAAAGAATTGTAAAACTGTTGAAGATTCAGGGGAGAAGAGCGGCTCTTCTCATCATTATCAAGAAAGAAAAGGAAGGCACAAGAAACAGCCGAGGCTACCCAAGCCAAAGTTTTGACTTATGAGTAAGTATGTTGGAGTTAGAGGAACAGTAATTAAGAGTAAGTATGTTTGACTTATGAGTAAGTATGTTTGACTTATGATTGGCTTGAAATTAAATAATGGATTCCCAAGATTTCTTATACAAACAAGTGTCCATCATATTGCTTCGGATTCAGGAAGCTTTGACATGGCCCGTGCTCCAGGGAATTGAAGCATGAATAATGCCTCTTGTTATCCGGTTCAGATTGAATTTAAGTTATTTTCCGCGATTCATATGGACTAGACTTTGACTTATGGGCCTTAAATATATTCTTATAATGTATGTTTAGAAATTACAAATCAAGTTACATATTTAATGAAAATTTATAATACTTATAGAAATGTATCTATTGTTTGATCAAAAACAATAGAAATGTATGTATTGTTTTATGATTATGTTGTTGAAGTATACGATTTTCTATTCAATTTTAGTTGTGATTTATTATCTACTAGATTAAGGACCTTCATATATGCGGGTTTGTATACTTGTAAAAAACATAATTAGATCATCTGTCAAAGACTCAAAGTAAATAAAATAAAAGTAAAACATTGGTACAAAACAACTGATTGAAAAATATAACATTTCTTTCAATATTTGTGAACTCACTAACAA